GGGCTGTGGTGAAGGGAAGCAGTGACAGGAGGCCAGCTGGGAGAGCCCTTTCATTTTCTGCAAGGAGTGTACGCTTTCCGCAGGAGGCAACGGACGGGCCTTTCCAACCCGAGTGACAAGAATATTTGCGTTTGACACAGACCCCTCTGGTAGCAGCGTGCGGGCTGTACTGGAGCACAGAGACTGCCGGCAGGAAGCAGGGGCAGGTTACCAGACCGGCTCGGTGGAAAAGCGGAGACAGGAAGGGCATTTGGTCAAGGGCATGGCTGTGAATTTGGTGTTGTAGGCGTCAGTCCTGAGTCATTGGACCCTGGGCACAGGTCTTAAACTCTCTGAACTACAGTTCGGTCTGCCATGAAAGGGGGCCAAAGAGTTGCAACGCCTCAGCGGAGTGGTCGTGAAGATTAGAGTGACTGATACAAAACACCAGATGGGGAACCCAGCACACAGGGAGAGTATGGGGAATATGAACTACAATTCTAAACACACGCCTTCCGCGCCCTGGACCTGGGGGAAGACTGAATTCGCGTGCAGAGGGCAGAGGCGGGGGTAACAGTCTTCAAGGCAGAGGCTGAGGAGGCCACCCTAAGTCCCTCCTAGAGGGACCGTGACAGGGCTGCACTCTGTTGGCCAGGCACCAATCGGCCTACTAGACCAGCCAGAGACCACAGGCATCATCCCGAACCAAACTAAAAAGGAAGGTCTCCTTTCTGCCTCAAAGAGCGATTACAAAATTCCAAGCCCAAGCTGGGAGAAAGACTCCCCAAAGTTCCCCCGGGCTCACTCCTGCTGTGCTCAGTAAAGCCAGAGTGCTTTGACTAACTCCTGCAAAGCGCTGTCCTTCAGAACTAGGTAAAGAGAAACACTCTCCCTGCAGTCAAAGGCATTTGTGGGGAGCAGTCAAAGGCAACCCAGCAGAGTAAGGCTCAACTATAAGCTAGTCTTACCATCTGGAGGCCTTGTCTTGGGAGGCATAGCGGCTAATAAAAAACAGCCCCGGTAAAACAATAAAGTTAAATTCTTACTCTTAAATTAACACACTGTTAAAAGAATAACACGCACTGCTAGGAAGGTTGATGTGAAACCAGAACATCAGGTTCTTGAAGGTAGCATACATTTAAGAACTCTTTGGAAAAACAACTTGGACAATAGCTATCAAGGGGTATGCTGTAAAAGATTCCAATCCTTTGACCTAATACTCTCTTTAGGACTCCACTTAAAGAAACATCTCAAAGAAAAAAGCCACCCACCCCAGCAATTCTCCTCATAGACATACACACCCAAGAGACATGAAAACGTATGTCCACACAAAAACCTGTACATGAATGTTCATGACAGCATTAATGTAACAGCCAAAAAGTTGAAACCGCCCAAACGTCTATTGAGTGAGAAAAAGATAAACAAAATATGGCATATCCATACAATGGAATAATACTTGGCAATACAAAGGAACGAAATTCTGATATGTGTTTCAACATGGATGAACTTAGAAAACATTATGCCAAGTGAAAGAAGCAAAACATAAAAGGACAAATACTGTGGCTCGGTCGGTTACATGTCTGACTTCAGCTCAGGTCATGTTCTCATAGTCTGTGGGTTCGAGCCCCACATTGAGCTCTAAGCTGATACCGTGGAGCCTGCTTCAGATCCTCTGTCTCCTCTCTCTGCTCCTCTCCTGCTCGCCTGCTCTCTCTCTCTCTCAAAAATAAACATTAAAAAAAAAAAAAAAAGGACAAATACCGTATGATTGCACTTACGTGAGGTATCTAGAATAGTCAAATTCATAGACTCAGAAAGCAGAAGGGTGGCTGCCAGGAGCAGCAGGGAGGTTAATGGGGAGTTGGTGTTGAATGGATATAGTGTTTCAGTTTGGGAAGATGAGAAAGTTCTGGAAATGGATGGTAGAAATGGTTGTACAATAATGTACACTTAATGCACTTAATGTACTCGATGCACATAGGGGTGGGGCAGAGGGGGGGAGAGAGAGAGAATCTCAAGCAGGCACCACACCAGTGCAGAGCCTGAAGTGGGCTCGATTTCACAACCATGAGATCATGACTTGAGACAAAAATCAAGACCCAGACACTTAAATGACTGAGCCACCCAGGTGCTCCATGTTACATTTTTAATGGGAAAAAAAGACCACAGGTTGTATGAGTCCATGAATACAAAATGTCCAGAAGAGGCAAATCTATGGAGACAGAAAGTAGATTAGTGGTTGCCTAGGGTTGAGACGGGAATTAACTGCTAATGTGTATGGGATGATAAAATTGTTCCACAACTGATAGAGGTGACGGCTACACAACTCTGCAAATATGCTAAAAACCACTGACTTGTACGCTTCAAATGGGTGAATTGCCTACTATGGGAATTATATCTCACCAAAGCTGTTGAAAAAAGGGGAAAAGGCGACACACAGGAACATGTTCAATATAGAATTATTTAAAATTCACAACACTAGAGGCGCCTGGGTGGTTCAGTCGGTTGGGCATCTAACTCTTCATTTCGGCTCAGGTCATGATCGCATGGTTAGTAGGACCGAGCCCCGTGTGGGGCTCTGCGCTGATAGCATGGAGCCTACTTGGGATTTTTCTCTACCTCTCTCTCTCTGCCTCTCCCTAGCTCACGCACACATGCCTGCATCCTCTCTCTCAAAAAAATAAATAAACTTAAAAAGAATAAAACTCACAAAACTCAAATATGAAATCGAAAAAGGATGGCTAAGGAAATTATGGTACATTTATCAACTCAACTGAGTATCATACAGCCATTATTAAAATCACATAGAAGCATTTTATGATGGCATAAAGCAAACAAGACACAAAACTGTTTAAAACAAACAAAAAAAAGATGCACCAGATAGAAGGCCTGGGAGTGAAACAGAAAAAAGTGAAAATAATCCGTATCTTGAAGCATTTGGCATAGAGACATATCTTTTAAAACGTGTTCTGTCATCAGGGACGCCTGTGTGGCTCAGTCAGTTAAGTGTCCAACCCTTGATTTCGGCTCAGGTCATGATCTCACGGTTCATGAGTTTGAGCCCCGTACCGGGTTTTGACGGACAGCACAGAGTCTGCTTCAGATTCCCTGTCTCCCTCTCTCTCTGCCCCTCTCTAGCTTGTGCGCTCTCTCTCTCTCTCTCTCTCTCTCTAAAAATGAATAAACATCAAAAATTTTTAATGAGTTCTGTTATTATTGTTTTATAAACAAAGAAAGGGAATATTGTACCGCAACAGACTGAGAAATAAAATGGCAAGTTCATAACCAAAACTAAAACCCAGTTATTTAAATTCTTCCATCAAAAATATCCAGGCACCAGGAGCGCCTGGGTGGCTCAGTCAGTTAGTGTCTGACTTCGGCTCAGGTCATGATCACACGATCCGTGAGTTCGAGCCCCGCATCTGGGTCTGGCTCTGTGCTGACAGCTCAGAGCCTGGAGCCTGCTTTGGATTCTGTGTCTTCCTCTCTCTGACCCTCCCCCATTCATGCTCTGTCTCTCTCTGTCTCAAAAATAAACAAACATAAAAAAAAAAAAAAAGCCAGGCACCAGGCATAAGGCTGTCCTGAACATAAGTAAACCTTTTTATTGACTCTAGGGACTATTTTCCCTAAGAATAAAAGCCCTCTTACCCTAAGATCTAAAAGGCATTTGCATCCTGACCAAGCCTATTAACTCCCCCTTTTCCTAGACTGGGTTACTCATGACTTGGTTTTTCTTTTGAACCAATTTGTTTGTTTGTTTGTTTATTTTAATATTTATTTTTGAGAGAGTGCAAGCAGGGGAGGGACAGAGAGAGGGGGACAGAGGATCTGAAGTGGGCTCTGTGCTGACATGCTGACAGCAGTGAGCTTGATGTGGGGCTCAAACTCACGAACTGCGAGATCATGACCTGAGTCAAAGTCAGACGCTCAACCGACTGAGCCACCCAGGTGTCCCATGACTCGATTTTTCACCACCTAGTAGGGGCCCCAGCTAGTCAAGAAGGAGCAAACAGAGAGCAAGCTGGGCTGGCAGAGGGGAGGTGCAGACATGATATACACATGTGATTAGCATTCCAAAGACAGATACAACAGGGTTCTGAATCATCTGGGAAATTGCTCCTATCCATCAACATAGAAAAATCAGGAATATCAACATTGAGAACAAACAGGGAGATTACATTTAAATGTAACCATATTTAAATATGAAGAAGAGACCAGACACAGCATGTATTCCTACTTGTACAATATTCAGAGCTAACAGACTTATCACACACAGGTTGTATAACTTATTAATGACAACGTGACTTTAAACAGTGGCTCTAACTGGGTCACCTTGAATAATACCAAACAAAGCCTGCCAAGGGAAACATGCAAATAAGATGATCATGTGGGGAATCCAATGGGGAATAGGCATTTTCCTAGCATCTAGGAATTTTTATTGTAGAAAAAGAAACATAGTACCTAGCTTCTTTAGCACCGAAGAAACAGCATGAGGATATTTCATTCTTCAATGGAGCGGAGTCCAAAGGGAGAAATGAGCCTGACGTTTTCTGCACATCGCACCCAAGTCAGGCTGGTATGTGGATATGGCAGTGCAGTCAGATTTATCCGAGGAAGCCTGAGCAACGGGTGGATAGCACCTATCACCCCGTGTAGCACATGCAGCACGAATCACACAAGACAAGTAGCAGAGGCCCTGAAAAGAGGCCTCTCCCCTCGCATTCTCTGAGGCCAGGACCCGCAGGCAGGGCACCCTTTTCCCTAAAGCAATCCCAGCCTCCGAACCGCTTGTCAAGTGAAACCTTCCCTCCTGTACACACCGGAGCAAACAGCCATTTGGCCTCCTGAAAATGGTCACAGAAAGTATTGGGGAGGGGCGCCTGCGTGGCTCAGTCAGTTAAGCATCCGACTTCGGCTCAGGTCATGATCTCACGGTTCGTGAGTTCGAGCCCCGCGTCGGGCTCTGTGCTGACAGCTCAGAGCCTGGAGCTTGTTTCAGATTCTGTGTCTCCCTCTCTCTGACCCTCCCCCGTTCATGCTCTGTCTCTCTGTGTCTCAAAAGTAAACAAACGTTAAAAAAAAAAATTAAAAAAAAAAACACAAAGTATTGGGGAATCTTAATCTTTCACCTGATGACTGGATATTTTACGTTAGGAATTTTGGTTAATTTTTTTAGATGGGATAATGAAGCTATGAGTATAGTTTTAAAAGGTTCCTAAATGTGTTTACCAAAGGAAAAAAAAAATAATAAAAATAAAAGGTTCCTTATCCTTTAGAAACACACACTTAGGTATTTAAAGATGCAATTATATGATGTCTGGGGTTCACTGCAAAACAATCCAGGAAAGGAGATGGGGTGGGGGAGGGCGGTGTAGATGAACTGAATCGGCTATAAGTTGATAGCTATCCAAACTTGCTAATATGTGTGAGTTCATCATCACAGCCTCTCTTTTCTGTACATGTCTGAAAATTTCCCTAATAAAAAGAAAAGAACATTCAGTAGGAAAGGCATAAAACCATTCATAACTTTGACCCAGCAGTATGCCCCGAAGGAAATAAGTTAGGGGGAGGGGAGAGCTGATTCTGCAGATGCCTAATTGCGGAAAAACTCCGTTACTCCCAACAAATGAGACGATGGCCAAGCAGCGAGGGTACATCAATAAGGCAAAAATGCTACGTAGCTTTTTAAAATGATAAATACTTTGGCCTCGTGGCTAAGTGGAAATCGGTAAAGGAATGCTAAATGAAAAACAGGCAGCATGAAATATTATGTGCATACTAATCACCAGAAGGTAAAATGCGTGCTCACATAATGAAAAGGGTCAAAAGAGAACACAGGAGGCTACCTCCTTCCTTTAACAACCTCCTGCCTCCGCTCCGTGAGGCCCCCAACACCCTGCACACACACACGCACGCGCACACACACACACACACACAGACCGGCTGAATTAATTGCGTTCTTCTGGGACCCACAGCCCTGGCTTGTGGATTCTCTCCAGCCCCTATCACCATGCAATGGCTCTTCCTGGACCTGCTGCCCCCAGTGCTCCAGGAATTCTATCAGCACACAGTAGGTACTCAATAAATGCTTGTCCATCAGATTAGAACAGAAATAGCTGCTGTCTATGTCTTAGAGGTTTGGGTTTGTTTTGTTCTGTTTTTTTCTGTAGAGCTGTTTACATCCACAGTAACCATTCAGGAAAGGCATTTCTCAGTGACTACCAGAGAACAAAGCTTCCCTTTCTGGTTCACAAAGTGCTTCTGCCGCCGTGGGAGAGCAAGGCAAAACAAAGTCAAGTGACTTCCGGGTCCGGAGCCTCCCTGGACCACAGAGAAAAGCCTCATTTTGTTTTGCGAGCTTGTCCTAAGTCTCAGTGCTATGGTTCCTAATCCCAAGTCTGGAGATATTCCCCAAGTACAGCTTGGAGAACAGGCCTTTCCTAAACCACCTGAAAGGGGAAACGCTGTGTGGCTGCTCTCAGTGGCTGGAGCAGCGGTGAAGGGCAAGAGCAAGAGCACAGCCGGGAGACATAAAGGCCGCGAGTGCACAGCAGCCCCAGGCTGGGAGGACAAGAACTGCCCATCGAGGCTGGAGATGGCACTTGAGTTTAAAGGGCTCTGCAGGCAGCTGCACAGCCGGCCCCAAGACCTTCCAGGGCGGCTCCCACCCAGTCTGGGTGTTTTCCAGCCTTCTGCTTAGAGCTGCTTCGAGCAGCAGGTTCTGGGGGAAGTGGTTTCATACGGATATTCAAGAATGTTGGGAAGAAATCCATAGGTCATTTTTCATAGCCGTGGTTCGTAACTGTTTTTGGATAAAATGTTGAAGAATATATTCCCTTTGAGAATCGGGTAAGACCTTCCCAGAAAAGTGCACACACGTACACAATTCTGCACACACTTTCAACAGGTTCTTCAAGAACTCCTGACCCCGGTCAGAGACCACTCCTGCCCTAGAGGGTCTCAGGCGCTTTAGCCGCTGCTATTAATAAAACACTTTAAAAAAGGCTAATGGCAACATGAATTTCCACTACAGCAAGGCAGCTGTGATATGTGAGGTACCGGCATAAAGTGATGTGCAGCAGGTCTCTGGGGAGGGGCCTGTGGCTTCACAAAGACCACCAGGAATGACACAGAGGGCCCATGCCTGGGCTCCCAGAGGAAGGCAACGTATAGCTAAGACAATCTACCCTGGATCTTCAGACATGAGACCGCCAAGCCTGACATCCTCAGGGCCTGTGGACCCTGAGATGGTCTCTTTTCGTTGGACTGGCAAGCCGACACCCGACTCATCATGCAGTGTCAATTTACCGAGGGTTTCCTTAAATGCTCCAGAAAGTGGGGTGTAGAAAACTGCCGACACGCTGTAACTGTAATTCCTTCCCCTAATTAGAGCCAAAACATTGGGTCCCAGTGGTCCTGGGGAATGACCAAAGCAGAGACTGCTGTGACATGGAAGAAAAGGTGGTCTGGGCATGGGAAGGACAACTTCAACTTGGCAGGGGCAAGGGGGGGGGTGCTGCAGAGAGCCCCTACAGCAGACACACACATGTGGCAGGCCCCTCATGACAATCTGAGGCCTCCCTAGACCCCTGGGGTTCCCAGCGACTAACTAATGCCATCCGCTGTCCCAAAGATACAATGCCCTTCCCAGCAGCCTCTTGCAAGCAGCCCATCAAGACGCCACAGAAGCTTTTGTCACTCACAGTCCTGTTGCAGCTCCTTGTCGCCCTGTAACAGTGCAACAAGTCAGTCTAAGTTTCTTCTTACCTAGCATTAAAATATACTTAAAGAATATATCCTGCCTACTTCCAAAAAGAATTTCAGGTAGTTTTTAATAATTTATACCCAAGGCAGGGGCGCCTGGGTGGCACAGTCGGTTAAGCATCCGACTTCAGCCAGGTCACGATCTCACGGTCTGTGAGTTCGAGCCCCGCGTCAGGCTCTGGGCTGATGGCTCAGAGCCTGGAGCCTGTTTCCGATTCTGTGTCTCCCTCTCTCTCTGCCCCTCCCCTGTTCATGCTCTGTCTCTCTCTCTCTCAAAAATAAATAAACGTTGAAAAAAAAATTAAAAAAAAATAATTTATACCCAAGGCAAATAAAATAAAGTAAAATAAAATAAAATAAAATAAAATAAAATAAAATAAAATAAAAGCAAGACTGGAAATCACATGAAACGAAAGATGAATTTTTTTTTTAATGTTTATTTTTGAGGGAGAGACAGAGCGTGAGCCAGGGAGGGGCAGAGAGAGAGGGAGACACAGAATCCAAAGCAGGCTCCAGGCTTTGAGCTGTCAGCACAGAGCCTAATGCAGGGCTCAAACTCATGAACCCTGAGATCATGACCTGGGCCGAAATCAGACGCTCAACCAACTGAGCCACCCAGGCGCCCCTGAAAGATGAAATTTTGACCAAGAACTGGAGAGATAAGACAGTAATTACAATTAAACAACAAATCAGGCCTGGGCTCCCTGGTAGCCTGGGCAAAAAGGGAAAGATATGGAGTTCCATAGTCTTTGCTTTCTGATTAATAAAGGCAGAATAGAAAACATTCCACTGAGGAAGATGGTGATTTTCTTTGGCTGACACTCAGTTCTAATATGAAATTACGGCAGCCATCCTTTACGTTAAGGAATAATGAGTAGCATAATACAAATCGTCTTCAACGACAGTTTTACATAAAATACAAAATGTTCTTCCTATAACTTAAGTCAGGCGTTGAGTACCCTTTAGAATCTGTCCCAGTTACTCTCCCAGCTTCATTTCCTTCTTCCTGTCCCTCCCATCCGCACGAGGAACTACATATTTCAATCAAACCAGACTTCTCATTCCGGGAACACACCTAGTATTCTCCTTACTTACCTTTACTCACCTTAAACTCTTTTTTTAATTACACTCTTTTTAAAGTTTATTTATTTATTTAGAGAGAGATGGAGATCGTACATGCACGAGGAAAGAAGGGGCAGAGAGAGATAGAGACAGAATGTCAAGCAGGCTCTGTGCTGACAGACTTGAGGCTTGAACCCATGAACTGTGAGATCATGATCTGAGCTGAGATCAAGAATCAGCCACTTAACCGACTGAGCCACCTGGGTGCCCCAAACTCTTTTTTTTTTTTTTTTTTTTTAAGTAGACTCCATGCCCAATGTGGGGTTTGAATCAAAAAAATGTGCTCTACTGACTGAGCCAGCCAGGTGCCCCCTCCCTAAACGCTCTCTCTTTTTTTTAAACTTTTCTTAATGTTTATTTATTTTTGAGAGAGAGAGTGTGTGTGTGAATGGGGGAGGGGTAGAGAGAGAGGGAAAGACAGAACCTGAAGCAGGCTCCAGGCTCTGAGCTGTCAGTGCAGAGTCTGATGTGGGGCTTGAACTCACCAACTATGAGATCACAACCTGAGCTGAAGTCAGAGGCTTACCTGACTGAGCCACCCAGGTGCTCCTAAACTAAACTCTTAAATTCCTGCCTCTTTGCAAAGATTTCTCCAGTTCTCCCAGTCAAAGAGGTCTCCTCTCACACCTCCCCAACCCTGCCACCACCTCAGGGCAGAGCACCACGGAGGTCACACAAGGCACAGACAGGATGGGTAGGGTCCTAGGAGTCAGGTTGACCTGAGCTCAAATCTGATGCTGCTATTTATTGACTGTGAGCAAGCAGCTAACTCTCTCTGAGCCTCAGTTTCCACATCTATAGAACAAAAACCACAATACCTATACCTTGCAAAGCTTTGTAAGGACTGAATGGACACCTATAAAGGCCTGCACAGGACTGCAGCCTCCAGGAAAAGGGGGTGTGACAATGGCTGCTTATGTACAGACTTGGGCATCTGTCTTCTCTCCTGCACTACAAAAGGAGCTCCCTGAAGGTGACAGAGTGAAGTCCCTCCCCAAATGTCTTCCACATAGGAAGACCTTGATAACACAGTGTTTTTTGGAAGCCTATTTGGAATTACGTCAGAGATCCTGACACAGGGTAGATTCAGACCCAGGTCCAAACACAAACCTCCTAACTCCCAGGCCACACTTTATCCACACAATGCTGCCAGCCCCTTGAGGCTCTCAAGCACTCCGACTTCCTTTGCCCACAGTGAAAACCCTCTCCCCCATCAGAAAGTCATTCTTATCATACAGGTCTCCAAATACCCATGCAAATCACATTATTACAACCTGAAGTGGCCACCTTATCCAAAGATCCTATTTGAAGAGAGCTGGTGTGTATTTAATTGTTATGAATGTATAGCACTGACCAATGCCTTGATGAACTAGAGATAAAATCTATCAGCCCTTGATGGCTAATTTGGTATAACATGAATACTGTGAGTTCTAATAACTCACAGGAGACTACTCTAGCACTTACAAGCTATATGTCTTCCACACTCATAAAACAACCATAATTACCTTTCATGGGTGAGATGTTCTAGTAATTCCTAAGTGACTTAACCCTAGAAAGTCTATGGAAAAAGCTAATTCAAAGAATTTTTGT